ACTCCCACCGAGATCATGCCTTTTACTCTTGTCTACCTTTCCTGAGTATTGACCATTCAACACTCTAAAGTAGTATAATATTTATAAATCTCATTTTCATAAAAACATTGTTATTAAACAATTAGAAAACATATTTGCACTATAATCAAAGTAGTACCCCATAACCCCTTATAAAGCACATTTAATCTTTTAAAACATGTAATGCATAATAACTAGTAATATTTATTCAAAAATAGCTAAAACAAAGTAATAAAAAATATAAATTCCCTGTTACCTCAACCCTTTGGTACCAAAAGGGTTCCCCTTGTACAAAATAGGGCTCGGCTTGTTCCGTACTTCTCAATAAGTTCCACCAACAATTTTCTACAACATATAAGTGATCCACATCACTTATCATGACAAATAGCATTAATGAAGACTATAACTCATACCACACAACTTGGGTTTATGAGCCATAATCCATCCCAATAGTCCATATATTAAACCAACCATTCACATAGTATCACTTAACCACCAAAACCATTTATTAGCCATCACTAGGCTAAATTTCTAATTTATATAATTTTTTATCAATTAAAAACCATTATTTAGTGCCACCAACTTTCGCCATTAGCCCTTATAATGAAAACTAAACTTTAATTTAAATCTTATTGGGCTCAAATAGCAAAATTATAACTAAATCAATAAGCTTAAACTATTGAAGAGCAAAAACCCAATTTCTCAGGATTTATTTTGTGTCTAAAACACCTCTTTTCATCCAATTATCCACTCAAAACATTAAATCACTATATAGAAACTCAAAACATGCTCTCTAGGATCCAAAGAAACAGAAGCTTACAAGAATAAAACCTTTGGGATCAAAATCCAAAAATCTCTTCTTTCAAAAATTGAAGAAAATCAAGAGAAAGAGAAGAGGATTGAAGTAGGGAGTTTACCTATCGTGTAGCCAAGCTCGCAAAGACTCCTAGATCCAAGCCTAACTCCCTCCCTTTCTCTTCTCTTCTTCCTCTCTCCCTCTCGTACGTTTCCTTTCCTTTCCTTTCCAATTCAGTTTCTGCGTTTCTGCATCAGTTTTGGCCTTTAAATTGTTGGTCAAAAATTTTGGGAAAAATTACAAGAAAGGGCCCAACGTTTTTTATTATTGCACAAAAGCCCGGGTCAACTTTGGTAAGTTTTTTCATAGTTAAAAATCAAATAAAACCAAACTTTTGCTTAGTAAAATTTAAACTCTAAGTCTCTATTAAATTATTCTAAATTTTAATTTAATTATAGATATTTTATTTTATTTTTAAAATAAATTTGAGTTTTAAAATTTTTAGGATGTTACAAAAGATATGCTTTAAGTCTTTAACCTTATTAAAATTGTGAAAAATAAGTCCGAATACTTGCTAGAAAAAGTGTCTCTATTTAATAATTAATTATATTTCAAATAAAATGTCTCCAAATACTATGCTTATGAGGGGAAGAAAAAGGTAAAAAATAAATTTCCAAAAGAGTTAGCACGCTTTCCACGACCACAAAAAGCACGTTTTGCCCAAAAGAACTTATCATAATTTTGTTGCTCGCTCGCTTCAGAAAAGCGGGATTTTTGGGGGAAAAAAAATTATGTTTGTTTTTCATAATTTTTAAGTTCAAAAAGAAATAAGCATTCAATAAAAAGTACTCTTACATATAATGTCCTACGCAGATTACAATAAGAAGAGAATTATTACTAAGTAATAATAATGACACTTACGTCATGCTGCAGCTTCTTCTTAAACTTATATGATGCTTCATATATTCTTCCTCTATCTTTATATATAATATATTTTTAATTAATTTTATATATCAATAAATATTTATTATTTAATTAAATTTACATAAAAATGTAATAATTTTTTAATTTTACCTTTAATAATATTATAATTAATATCATGATAGTAGTAAAAAATTTATAATTAATGATTTTTATTTTTTAAAATAAAGATAAAATTATTTAATTACTTAAAAATATCATTATCATATCGCATATTTAAAAATAAAATAAATTTTTAAAAAATATTTTATATATAGAGATGAGAGAGTATTACATAATCTCATACTTAAGTGTATTTTATAGTTTTTTCAAACTACATGTAAAAACTTCTTAAAAAAATTATTCATAAATAAAAATCATCAACGAGATATCATTTAAAAAAATAAGTCATTATTATTATTTTAACAATTAATAATTTTATATTAATTTCCTAATTTTAAATAATAGTAAAACCAAGAAATGGGTGGACTTTTCATTCCGGAGATCAATTATCAAAAGCTCCGATGTCAACGTCAATAATTATTAATCAATGCATTGATGTGAAGGCTTAAGGTTACAAGATATAATCATTGGTTTTGAATCCGTTCAGGACCCAAATAGAAGAACCATACAAAATAGACAAAAGAACGAGAACCTGGGCTTTCAGGTTTGGCCCATCTGATCAAAATTACCCTTTCTCTCTCCCTCATTGCAGGCGTGAGTGTATTCGTTATAATTTATATTCTCTTCATTAAAAAATATAAAATATTTTTTAAATAATTGAATATTAAAAAATATAAAATATTTTTAATATTTTAATATGTAATTATTTTTTAAAAGTTTCAATAATGAATGAACCATTTTATATTGATTTTAGAATAAAATTTTTTATTAAATATGATAAATATAAAAAAATATTATTATTTTAAAGATAAATAACTGCTTTAATGAAGTAAAATTTAATTTAAAATATATTATATTTTTAAATAGAGAGAGTAAAAGATAATGATGGCCCAAGAACTGTTATGAGATAACGAGAAAAAAAATAATTTGTAAATATATATATATATATATATATTTCATCTGGATTATAATATAAGTCATTTTTTAAAAATATTTATTAGTTCAAAATATAAGACATTAGCTAAGTTTTATTTTTTTACATTTAATACCCTTGCTTTAATGAAATTAATGCAATTAATGAGGGTAGTTTAAATATTCCACTCAAGGGTATAAATGAAGATGTGTAAATATTTTTAGGAAATCAAGATATTAACCAACCTTTTTTTAAAAGTATGAGTTAGTTAATTGTGATTTATACTATGGTCTAGAAGAGGAAGTATATATTTGAGGGATGACTAAAGAATATCAGAAAAATGCAGAAAATGAGTATACTTATTCTCTTACTTTTGTATATTTATGACCATGCATAGACTTGCAACTCATTTCTATTCTGGGGCAATTTGTGAGTGTGACACTGAAGCCCTGTCAAACTGACCGTTGGCTGAGTGGATATGGTTTAACTAAATAAATATAACACCCATATACATGTCCCTTTATCTCACTACCAATCAACCAGACTGAATTCAAATATTATTATTACGAATAATAAGAAATAGCAAGCAAACATCATCTTCGTTGGTTGATATGAAACAAATGATTGAAAGACACGTTAAAGGGCTGGATGGTTTAATTCTAGCCACCAATCTCTGCTGTGGCTTAGTAGCATAGTCAATTGTCGCCAAGTTACACATCTAAGTAAGAAGATGGGTTAATCTTATCATCTAATCTTTTTTCTGATGCATGGGCCTTTTCTGTGAATGGAAGTTCTTTTAAACAATTAAGCAAGGTTGGTGTGGAGGTTGGATCCAAGTTCCCAGTAGGTTGAACCCTTCCAACCATCACCTTGATCAAGTAAAAGTTGGCATACTTTTTGCACGCCATTATCGTAACACATGCTTAATCTGACCTACTCGTGACATTTGTTATCCCTTAATCACTCAGCTGAATGCTAAATCTCACTTACCTCTGACAGTAATCATGTACCAAACTAAATAACCCTAAGGCTTTGCATCCACAAATTTGGTTGTTCCAAGTTGAAGTAAACCATTACAATACCAGTTCGTTTTAATTAATTAAACACGCAGGTAAATATTGATGAAGCACGTAGTCTCAGTACCAAAGTATCACGGCGGCTATGAACGGGGTTGAACTACTTTGTGATATTTAGGCGCCAACTTACAGCTAATTCGAAACAAGCGGTTGGACTGGGAGCCTATGAACAGTAAATCTTCCAACAATTTGACCGTGAGCATTGATATTACTGAATTCTTCTACACATAACACATTCGAATTGAATGATAGTATTTTGGACCCTCACGTGATGTGACGCAGTCTTAACGATGCTGCTAGGGGATATCTTCAAATTTTGAACTCAATAAGCATCCCTCCAAAACGCTATCCCCACCCGGTAAACGACAATATGTATCTCACCATCAAGAGCAGCAACCTCACGTCGTTTGCCTTGCCCTGTTTGTGTTTGCGAGTTTGGTTTGTTCCGAAGTGGCGCCAAACTCATGTTGGAGGCGACGGGTTTCTTTAATACACATATCCTAGTTTTTCCCCTCTTTTTGACCAGATCTGTAATGTAAATGAGGATACTACTTTTAATGTTGTTGCATCTGAAGTTGGTATTTAATCCTATTATTTATATTATTAGACTGGAATGATGTGCACTCTGTCACTGTGAAAATAAACATTTCAAAAACTTATATCGACTAACAAAATATGTAATACAATATAAGGCACATGTATTAAATCGCATTAGTGTATCACTATTCATGAATCACTAGTTTTACAAAAAAATATGTCATATGTAATGATTAATGGTTCATTATACAATGATGAATAAGTTTGATTGAGGTCCGATTTAATTAAAAATATATTATGATAAATTTGTGAGTGAGATATGATCAAATTGTATACTTTTATTGATGATATACGACTAAAATTTCATTAGTTTACTATGCATTTTATATTATTATTATTATATATTAATAGATTAATAGATACATAGATTACTTTAACCAATCATGTCAGAGAATTTTTTATTCTTGGAAGAAAGTAAATTTAAATTCAAACCCCGTGACGGCGTGTCCTTGTCTCTCGGACAAGTGCTAGGCTTTCGAGAGAAGTTTAAATTCAAAAGGCAAGAGCGTACGAGAACTAATTCATTACCTCTGATCTGAATGAAAGCGGGGTAAAGCACCGAGCACCGGTGATGTCGAGGGAAATGTCACCTCCTGAACCTTTCGGCTCTTAAGTAGTTCTCCGAAGTTTGATCTGCTATCACCTCCAGTAGCTCCAGCATTATCCGTGTCGCAAGGGCAATGCCTCCGTCTTCAGCTCCGGTTCATAGCCTCAAACAAAAGGTGTTCACCTGCCTCACCAAGCTCTCCGACCGCGATACTCAGTCCCTCGCCGCCAATGAGCTCGAGTCCATTGCTCGGAACCTTGACTCAAACTCCGTACCAGTGTTCCTCTCCTGCATTCACTCCACCAATTCGTCAGACAAATCGCCGGTTCGTAAACAATGCGTGCACCTCATGCAGGTTCTTTCCGAAACGCACGGAAACTCACTCTCCCCCTATCTTTCCAAAATCCTTTCCCATATAGTTCGTCGGCTCCGGGACCCGGACTCCTCGGTTCGATCTGCTTGTGTGAATTCCGTGTCGGCATTGTCTGCACACATCACCAAGCAACCGTTTGCTTCTTTCCTGAAGCCGTTAACTGAGGCTCTGTTCACTGAGCAGGACCAGAATTCACAGTTAGGCGCGGCGCTTTGTCTGGCTTCTGCCATTGATGCAGCCCCTGACCCGGACCCGGCGAGATTGTCAAAGCTCTTGCCGAGGTTCGAGAAGTTATTGAGAAGCGGGAGCTTTAAGGCGAAGCCGGCGCTGTTGACCCTTATCGGAAGTGTTATTGAAGCTGGTGGAGTGTCGAGTCATGCGGTTTTGAGCAATTTGGTTCCGTGCACCGTGGAATTCCTGAGCAGCAACGACTGGTCGGCAAGGAAGGCTTCGGCCGAGGCATTGATGAAGTTGGCGATAGTGGAGCGGGACGTATTATCAGAATTCAAGGCCGGATACTTGAATGTCTTCGAGAACCGACGATTCGATAAGGTTTCACTCCTCGCAAATTTTTTTTCCCGGTTTTGCGCACCTGATCACGAGTTTATTTTTGTTTGTATAGGTTAACTTGAAAGTGAACTGAGTGTGTATCTTGTTGGTCTAGGTTAAGGTAGTTCGGGAAGTTATGAATCAGATGTTTGAGGCGTGGAAGCAGATACCTGATATATCGGATGGATTCTCTCCACCACCTAAATCACAATCTTCTTCCTCAGGTATTACCATTTCTATCTAGTCGTCGTCGTCGTTGTGCCTTGTAAAAAGGAGAAGTTTGCAGCTATCTGTTTTGCATTTACAAGAATTTATCATCTAAAGGCACTGTGGCAATCAATTTGCTAATGTCCACGCCTGAGTCTGGTTCTGTGCTTAATCTGTTACGTTACTGTAATTATCTTTATTCTCATCTTCATCTGGCTTTGGGCTGTTGTTTCTGGGTTCAGAAAATGTAAGTGATGGGCGCTATCCGGCATTCTCACAGAATTCATGCCGTCGTGCTTCTGTAATGCCTCGATTGTGGAAGAAATCCACTCCAGTTAGCAAATCAAGCCCTGATAGTTCTGTTGTGAGCAATGCTAAGAAGTTAAGCTTTAGTAGTAAGAGAATGAGCTCAAGTGTTTCGCCAAAACAAAGCCAAATGAATCGGGATGTTCCAATGGCTGTGCTCAGTGCTCCCTCCGCTATAGGTGCTAATCAGGGTTATCTTGAAGAGAGAAATGAGATGATACCGGGAAAAAACAAAAAGGAGAAAAGCAGCTTTTCAAGGCCAGAAATGAAACGAGCTCTTCCAAGTAAAAATCCTGATGAAAGAAAACACAAGTTTGGTGGCTCCAAAACTGGATCTCGCGTCGTTCCATGTCATGAAGAGAGCCAAGATTCAGTTACTATCAGTAATGTTGCTAAAGATTTGCATAGGAATGACAAAGATTGTGAAGAGTTAACTTTAATCCGCAGCCAGTTATTTCAAATTGAAAATCAGCAGTCCGATCTACTTGATCTTCTAGAGGTTTGTTCCTAACATTGTAGATCCAAATTCCCTGACAAAAATTCATGTCTTTAACCATAGCTTAAGCATGCAGGTCTCCTGAGAGAACAGAAGGATGGTTAATACGGTTATTATTATATTTGACCATCGCTTAAGGCTGACGAACATTTGAGCATCAAGTTCCCTTGCAAAATTTGATGTCTTTGACCATGGCTTTAGCATGCAGGTCTCTTGAGAGAAGGATGGCTAATACAGCTATTATAATCTTACCTCCTCCCTCCCTCTCCGATATATTTTTAATCACAAGTGCCAATCCTTTATTGATGAACATATCTGTAACATCATTGATATTTATATTGCAGAGATTCATGAATAGCTCACAGAATGGAATGCGATCTTTAGAGTCTCGTGTACATCGCCTGGAGTTAGCGCTGGAAGGGCTCTCTCATGATTTGGCTGTATCAAATAGAAGGGTGGTTCATGCTGATGCTCCTTGGGATTCATGTTGCCTGCTGCCTGGTGCCGAAATTCTGAGCTCCAAATTCTGGAGGAAAACACAGGGCCGGTATTCTGGCTCCCAGTTCTCTAGATGCAGTCGCACCCCACCACAAGCTGCCATGTGGTACAGAGCTCACATGAAGAGTGATGCTGAAACTGAGTTGACAACTCCAAAGCGCAGGCTCCATGGTGATGGAGGATTCATCACAAATCCGCTGGCAGAAGTTCATAATAACTTGGGAGATACGAGACATTGCGCATAAGGAGAGCCAATGGATAACAGCAGGTTCACTCTCCTCTTTATATTTCAATTTACCTTGTGTCCATCTCAAAATTGCCAAAACACACAAGGCATTCATTTAACGCTACTAAATTGCCAAGCGTGCAGTATAATTTTCACATGGCCACCATTTAATGCGATCTATCTGCCATTCATTTTATTTTTAAATTTCTGGAAGGCAAGCTGCTCAATCTGACCAGCAAGTGTTTTATCTTCATTTGACCTTCTGTCAGCTTATTGGCCGAAGAAAGAGACCTTCTATCAACTTGCTGGAAGATCTTTATGGGAAAGTGTGAGAATAACCGGATCAGAATATTCAAATTTGGTCAATCTGCAGTCTTGTCACTCTCAATTAAGGCGGGAAGCTTACTATTTCATACTTGTGCAGAATTTCATTGCATGTCCATCATATTCTTGGACAACTTTAGTAGATTGAAACGGGTCCACGGCTTACTCTTTCGTTTATTGATTAATTACTAGGTTGTATTCCAGTTGTGCCAAAGGTGACGATGATACACCTCTAGAATGTAAGGTTTCTGTTCTGTGCCAAGATTGGCGTCCTAAATAGTTGCCACTTGGGAGGTTGTGACAAGATTCTCCTTGGCTATCCCATCCCATTTACAGAATTCCTAGATTGTCATTTGCACTTGAATATTAAGAACTAATCAATGGTTTGAAATTTAGCCCGATCCTCGAGGAATGAATGGATAATTGAATATCCGGATTTTGTACTAATATTAATTTTGAATGATCAGATTTCCTTCCGTTCAGGCATTAAATGAACCATCCCATCCAAATATAGTGTGTGGCTAGTTTTCAGCTTACTTCGGCAAAAGTTTATATGAAAAATTTAATTATTTATTAAATTTGACAAAAACACGTTCAAAATGCAGTTTGAATCCTAAACTTGCATCAGACACTTCTTTAAAGGCTGCTTTTCTTGCGAGAGTTTGAACATGATTCATAACCTCAACCATTTAACGCATTCTAGATAGATTAATAACCTCCATTCATTGTGAATATGATTTAACACTAGGCTATTCATTTTATTTTTCTTACCAAGTATAGAATGAGTCATTATTCATTTATAAATTGTACATTTTCCTAAACATCTTATCATCCATATTAATATTAATATATTGATTATTATTATTGTAAAACCCTTTCTTATAATGAAATACCTATGAATATAATTCGTTTGTTAATATTTCTACTCCATTAACTCTTAAACCAATATATCCTAGACCCAAAAACTCCTACTCAAGATGAAAAGTCTAACTGCACCATGTGAGAAAGTTACGCTGTTCATGGCAGGTATTGCATGAGATAATCATCAACATATCAATATATTATATAAAAACTACGATAAATCATATGATTCATAATTCATGAATAATGTGACTCACCCTAGATTCTACGTCATGCATAGCAAAATAAATCGAGATAGCAAAATTTATATTCCAATCATTGAACTAAAGCTGGCCCAAGAAAGGACAGCAACAACATATGAAATTTTAAGGTCCACATAATGTAATGCTACCCAATTGCTGAAATGGCTAAAAATGTTGGAAAAGAAAATATATAGTGACAATGTTTTATTAACACATCCCACAGCCCTTGAAACAACACTTCCAGAAAGAACGGTTCAGTGGACTGTGCCTTGAATACTCTCAAAAGTCACTCTTGCTCAATCTGCTAGTAGCTTTAGGCCATCTACTGCCACCATTTCTTTTCAGACAAAGATATGAGCTGCACAACAAACTTGAATATGTTAAATTCTTTCCTCAAATTTAAGACAACGTTGAGCATCGTTTTGCAACTAGCCCAACTTGCAATGTCATTCATCATTCTAAAGCTTCAACAAGTGCACTTTTGCACAAACACTTCTAAAATTAAAGCAGAGTTAAATATGCCATTCCTTTTTAATCTTTGAGCTTATTAAATTATTTCAAAGCCAGGGAAGCTGGCTTCCACAGGAGATGGAATCCGTCAATATTCCTGATTCCTGCTATCACGCATGTTAGCACAGAACATTATACAACTGATTCAAACTCAAAACAGATGTAAAATAAGATTTTAATTCAAGCTCACAATTAAAATATCCAACAATGAGACTAAATGAATTTGATTCAATATTTAATGACTGGATACATTTTCAATTATAATTAAAGCTGAAAAAAATAATTAAACACATATTAACTACAAATTTGATAAGATGTTCCAAATCACGAGCTTTTTTAATAAAAATGTATTATATGTTTTGGAGGAACAGACAATCTAATAATTCTAGTAAAAACATGAGAAGACCACAACAACACTATGGAACCTTTTGTAGTTGAAAGTTCACATGATATGACAAAGGACCGCTTGGCCTGAAGTCAGAAACTCTAAGACAGCTTCCTAAAGAGTGTGCGCACATACTCTCTCTCTCTCTCTCTCTCTCTGTTTTTCTAACAGCCTGCTTCCCTCTATATAACTAACAATCAAAAGCAAGAGCTTGGAAAACTCAACATAAAACATTAAGAAACTCCTATTAAGTTTGACATGAAATGGATGATTTCCATCCACTAGAACCAGAATCTTGTGTTTCATCGTGCATAGAACAGGTGTAGATCTAAAGAAAGTGATAGACGAAAATTGAAGTTTCGTGGACTAAAATTTGTGAGCATGCTTCACAAACGTGCTAAATAACATTCCTGGATCTCAAGAATACTGCTGGAGAGAGCTGCTCAGGTACTTAAAAAATAGCTCAACAGCTACACTGGACGCCACTTGATTCTTTCATACATATAAATTTCTCTTTCATTATCTACTTTGCTGGCTACAATAATCTACCCCCCTGTGATTTGAACAAAAATTAACTTGCTCTCTAGTGCTTAAAATATCTCATTCAATTCCCCGATGGTTTGCTTTGTAATCGTAACCACTTAACCACCATTGGTATTATTGTTTATAATTTTAGCCAAAATAATTATGTTGAAGTTTAAACCAACGAACAATTTCACTGTTAGAAGTATGTGGTACCTATATCATAAACAATTTCAGTCTTTGAAGACTAATACTAAGATTAAATTGACAGTTCAATATTGAAACACTTCACCTGAACTCATCAATAGCTTTTGTACCATTTACCATTTTAACATTCAAGCGATCATTTTCATTAAAATTTGGGTGTATGATTCCGTATGGGGATCAAATAGTAATTGAACAAAGCACATGGGTGTCAAATAACGCACTTTGAATCACACAAGGACAAGTTGATTTTGGACGAAACTGCGTGGAGGTAAAATATAATGAACCCTTCGTCTTAATAAAATGGTCAACTATCGTCTACTGCTAACTAGGCATACCAACTTTAAACAAAGCTCATTCAACATCATCGTATCCCTTTTGCCTTTGGATCTCATAACTTCTACTAGGCTTAATCAATCTTTCAAATAAATTAACAGAGTAATTCATAGCCAAGTAATTTGCAACATGCACATGCAAGGGTGTAGAAACATGAACACATACCCAAAAGAGCAAAATAGAAAAACAAGCATTTGCAAAAATATAGGACAAACCTGACGAGCAACTTGTGCTAAACGCCGGCTATCCCTGGATGATTCTGTGATTGTGCAAGATTTGTGAGCCTCCATGTGACCATCCCTAGATGAATTGGTAATCGTGCAAGACTTGTGAGGCTCCACATGACCATCCCTAGATGATTTGCTGATTACGTAAGACTTGTGAGGCTCCAAATGACCATCCATAGATGATTGGGTGATTGTGCAAGACTTGTGAAGCTCCAAGTGACCATTTTGCATCTCTTGAGACTGTCCTTTCAAATTACTCGAACAATCCACATCAGAGCTGCTTAGAGACTCCCTCTTGCGTTTTCTTTGGAATGTGTACTTGATAAACCTATCATTTACAGGTTGAGAAGAAACTTTCTCATCTGAATCAGATACTTTTAGACCTAGTGTATCAGATGACTCATTAGCTCCCTCAACATCTGCTCTGCAAGTTGGAATCTCCAAACTTTCAGCAGACAAACTCTCTTGTCTGGTCAAGTCTGATTTATCCAAAAGTTCCTTATCATCCTTAATTTTGTTCCATGCACAGCAAGTTTTAAGGAATACTTCTTCTATTTCAGCATCCTTTTGTGATTCTGACTGCTCTGTCATTGAAATTGTGTCAGTAGGTTCTCTAGATGAAGCAGATATCATATTCTTCTGAGCTTCATTTTCACATAATATGGAACAGTTCTCCCTTGATGGATCATTATTGTCATATGGAGAATTTTTTGTGCAAGAAATATAAGATGGTTTATTGTCATTATCATTAATTCTCCTCTTTTTTCTACAAATTGGCACTTCAACTAATGGTTCCTCTTTCACAGCATCATTTTGAGACACTGACTCCTCCGTCACTACAGTTAGATCATGAGATTTATCTGCTTCCATGATCTGGTGTGAACAAGATCTAGATTGAACCAGCTCACTTTTCTGTTTTGTTTCTTTATTTCTAAAAAATGACACTTCAACTAATGCTTCCTCTTTTACAGTATCATTAGGAGTGACTGACTCCTCAGTCACTGCAGCTGTGCCATGGGGTTTATTTGTTTCCATGACCTGGTGTGGGCATGATCTAGATTGAACAACCTCCCATTTTGGGTTGGTTTCCTTGTTTCTGCAAAATGACACGTCGACATGATCAGCATTTGCATCAACCACTTTAAGTTCATCTGGTTTCTCCACTTCAAAGATATTATCAGTTTCAGTATTAGTTGTTATAGAAATGACTTCACCTTCATCTCCTCTAACTATTGCTTCATTCTGTACATCATCCACATTTCCTGAAAGAGATAAATTTCCATCAAACAGGCTCCTTTCAAATGCACGTATTCTCTGTGTGCAACCATTTCTGTAGAGCTCAGGCTCTTTCCTCCTAATGACTATGGAAGCAAAATCTGGGTTATGAATGTAGCAGCAGTTCTTATGATCATGTGACACACAGCACATGTTGATTTCCTTTGTTCCATTTAGAGTTGAATTTCTAGTGTTGAAAGTTGCAGCAGATTCAAACTGTGAAGCTGGGACAGAATATATTGATTCATAAGTGTAAAGCCTGTCCTGTAATTGTTTTTCCTCAGCTGCATTTTCACCTTCTATGTTTTGCTCAAATGGGGGATGAATCTGGTTGATTCTAACCTTCTCCAGTTCAGCCTGTACTTCTCTTAACTCTTCCCTGAGGTCTCTAACTATGTCCTCAGCTTCCTGGAGCTGTGCTTCAAGCTCCTCAATTTTCTTCTGCTGACTCAAGGATGTCATCTCAGCTTCTCTAACCTATGAATTAGCCATATGTTAAAACAAAACAGGAAATAAAGACAATGTTCAAAATGATTTAACTTATGTACATCCCCCTCCCACCCCAAAAAGGGACGAGTATGCTCACAATGTTGAGGGCCTATATAGAGACTGTCAAAACAGCCTGTGCAGGTCAGTTGAAATCAGGGGCCAACATTCATTCAACAAAACAAATATAAAACTCCCAAGGTCGGCTCTTGAACAAGCCTACCACATAAGAGGGTCTAACACAAGAAAATGAAACATACAGACAATTATATCACATCTATGGATTCATTTTCTTCCTGGTTAATCTGAAAGTTAAAATGAATTTTCAGCATTCCTCAAATAGATACCAAATGAAGGTTACAATGACTGATTGTGTTAAAGAAATATACATAAAGTTATGGACATTGGACAGGTAGGAAATTCTAATGGAGCTAGTTGTTCTATCTGACAGTGAATCATAAGCAAATAATATGCCTTGTCAAATTTATGTTGATTGCATTCTAATGACCATTAAAAGCTTCATATCATAGCTCTTGTAAACATAATCCTGAAATTTACAGATGGCCAGAGTGTGAGTTTTATTAAACTCTTCATATCATAGCTCTTGTAAACATAATCCTGAAATTTACAGATGGCCAGAGTGTGAGTTTTATTAAACTCCTTAGTTCACTGATAACACAAAGGAGACAGGTTAGAGATGATATTAACGGAAGGACTAGTTAAACTTACATAATATTCTCGTTCAACTATAATCATTGCAAGTAACCCACATTTCAAATAAGCATAAGGTAATTAAAAACTCGGTAAAGAAAACCATCAGCCTTCACCATCCAAATTCTGTCAAGCAATCTTTTTTTCCTCACTCGGTGATCATCATCGCTTGAACTTGAGAGTGGAAGTTTAACTTTTCATTCTTATAAAGAAAACCAAAAATTCCAATCAATGACACAATAATCAGCGCCAGAACTAACCCGGGAAATGGAAAGATCATATTTTTCAGAATCAAGAAAGAACTCAAACCAAAACCACTTCACAAAACATAAGTAGGGGAAACCCCAGCCAAGTCTCCGAACCAACAACTCAATCAAGAAGTTAAGGAGAACGAAAGAAAAGAACAAACATTAAAGAAGAAAAGGAAAACAACAGAAATGAGAAGCAACCCCATTAGAGGATCATGATTATACCTTAGAATCCAACATTTGTTTGAGCCTTTGAAGCATCCGAAGCGCTTCTTCTTTAGTCGAAAGAAGCTCCCGCTGAAACCTCACAGCTCTCCTCTCGGATGACATGATACGCGCGGCCGCTTCCTTGGCCGTATTGAGTATTATATCCGCGTAGGCCTTCTTCAACGCCGTCAATTTCTGTTTAAAATGACAAAACACCCTTCATCAAAACAAACCCACATCCCAAAAGTCACACACCACCCAACGGAAAACACTAGAGAATATCGAAGGCGATCTTCATTCAAAATTTTTCCACCAAATTTTGCCCGAAGAGAGGAGCGAAAAAACGAAAGGAAAAGAAAAAAGAAGGCCTCGTTCACTTGAAAAGAAGCGAAGGCAGAGCAACAACTCATACCTCGGAATCCTCCATTAATGTCTAATGCATAGAGAAGGGGTAGTTGGTGGTGGTGGGTTCTTGACAAGGAGAAGGGAAGGAGAAGGAAGTTTCTGTTTTTCTATTGCGCTTTGAAGCAAGGAGCAGCAGTAGCAGGAGGGGGAGCTGTCTGTTAGGACTTAGGAACGGAAAGCCCCACCTCGTATGACTAGAATGCCCTAGTCGTTCACCTTATTATTACGAAACTACCACGTCAGAAGACAAACCGGGTAACACCGGCGCAGTTGAGACAGGGTGGCCCACCGAATCTGACGTGGATGAATACGAGCGATGAACGTGGACGTTTCGGCGTTAACCGTTTCGATGGGATGTGAAAAAAAGTAAAATAATGTTGGCCCAAAAAAAAAAAAAATAATAAACAAAATAAAAGTGGGAAAATGCGTTGGGAAGCGTGGCTTGACAGTTGAGTTGGGGCTTAGCCCTTAGCCTCTTCCTTTGTCAGTCAGACTCAGTGGTCGTGAAACGGACGAGCGGATCTTTCGTCCTCTTCTCTTTTTCTAATTCTTCACCTAAATCCTCTTCTCCTTCCATCGCGGTTTCAATGCAATGTTTTTATACATCGAACTTTTTACCCAGTCACTGTACATTTGTGGGAAAATTTTTTTTACAGTTTTTTCTTTTGAAGATATTCGTATAGATTGCAATAACACACACACACACACAGAGCGCACTTGATTAATCAGACTCACTTTACCAACCTATTGTGCCGTTCCGTCATGGACCTAGCCTCAATAAGAACAACAAATAATTTTACAAAGAACTGAATGCCCACATTCATGCAAAATTACAGGACAAAAACATAAGAAGTTAATCCATCAAGAGTCAAACCTTTTTTTGGCCAATAATGAATCAAATTAACCTTAAAATAATATCCCTTTCCTTTAAAAATGTAAAGTATTTTTTGAGAAGTTAAATGTTAAAAAATATAAGATATTTTTTATTTTTTTAAGTGTAATTATTATTTTTTTAAATGTACCTATTAATAATAACTTTATATTTATTATAGGTTGTTTAATAAGGATAAATATGAAAAGATATGATTTGTTAAAAAGTAAGTAAATACTTTATTGATGGGTGAAATTTAATTAAAAATACCTTACATTTTTTAATAGAGAAAGTATGTTTTATATTTTTTTTTCCTTGTTGATTATAAATATTTCAACGTCAAGCAAACAACCCAGAACATTAAATCTCATATATCAATCCTTCAAGTTAAATTTTCTTCATTTAAAAGCCGAAACCGTAGATGCCACCGAGAAGGAAGCACCAAGACGGAGATAAAAAACGTGCAAAACAGAGGGAGGGAGGGAGGTATAGAATAACTACAGAATGCAGAGATAGTTTTCTCCCGCTTAACTGCATTTGTTTGAAAATCCGTTAGTGTCACATGATTCGTACCCAAACCCAACATGCCTGTTCTCGATGTCTTTCCTGGCCCATTTCCTCATTCTCACAGGCTAAGACTGTCCGGGTCACGTAACCCGATTTATTGACCCATTTGTACGCCTGCCCCGTTCGACCGTTATCCGCCAAAAACAAACACGTGGCCTTCCTCTTGCCCCATCTTCTTCGGTTCTCCCAGTTCCACCTTCTCCTGAGAATTCCGCTGAACAAAGCTTGAGAGATTTAGCAACAGTTCATTCTTCGTCGAAGTTTTCAATTCACCTTCTTTCTGTCCAACTGAATTCGCTGTCGACATCTTCTTCATTGCTATGTATTCAAAAAAAAATTCACACCTCAAGTTTCGACGAGAAGCTGAAGTAATCACTTGAAAAACAAGAGGGATTTCACTTCATTGCCGACCTGGTAATGTTTACTCAATAGCACTGCTTACAAATTTCTTCCAAAGCTTATGCGAACTGGTTGCAAAAAATGTCCCTTTCGCATTCGCTCTCTGTACCCAATCCTTCCCCTTTCTCCACTAGGCTGCTCAAACCCTACCAGAACTTCCGCAAATTCTCTTTCATCTCTAAAACCCAAGGCTTTCTATTCCATCGGAGACTCCTCTCCGGTGGCCGGGTATTACAACTTGAACCCTCGAAGGCCAGAGCGAAGGCCAGAGAACTTGTCCTCGGTAACCCCTCGGTGACGGTAGAGAAAGGCAAATACAGCTACGATGTTGAAACGCTAATCAACAAGCTCAGCAGCCTGCCTCCCCGAGGCAGCATTGCTCGGTGTCTAGACTCCTTCAAGAATAAACTCTCCTTGAATGATTTTGCCTTAGTATTCAAGGAGTTCGCGCAGCGAGGCGATTGGCAACGCTCGCTGCGTCTTTTCAAGTATATGCAGCGCCAGATATGGTGTAAGCCCAACGAACACATCTATACCATTATGATTACTTTGTTGGGCAGGGAATGCTTGCTCGATAAATGCAGCGAGATATTCGACGAGATGCCTAGCCAAGGTGTACCTCGGAGCGTCTTCTCTTACACGGCTGTTATCAATGCCTATGGGAGAAACGGTCAGTATCAGACTTCCCTGGAGCTTCTGGATAGAATGAAAAAAGAGAGGGTTTCACCGAGCATATTGACTTACAATACGGTGATAAATGCTTGTGCTAGGGGTGGGTTGGATTGGGAGGGATTGTTGGGGTTGTTCGCTGAAATGAGGCATGAAGGCATACAGCCGGATGTTGTTACTTACAATACTTTGCTTAGTGCCTGTGCTAATAGAGGCCTAGGTGATGAAGCTGAAATGGTGTTTAGAACCATGAATCAAGGTGGGATAGTTCCTGATATAACAACGTACAGTTATCTTGTGGAGACATTTGGGAAATTGAAAAAACTCGAGAAGGTTTCAGAGCTTCTTAGAGAAATGGAGTCTGGGGGTAATTTGCCAGATGTAACATCTTATAATGTACTATTAGAAGCCCATGCACGGTCAGGTTCCATCAAAGAGGCAATGGGCGTGTTTAGGCAGATGCAGGGAGCAGGTTGTGTGCCAAATGCAGCAACGTATAGTATTCTGTTGAATTTGTATGGAAGGCATGGGAGGTATGATGATGTTCGTGACCTTTTCCTTGACATGAAAGTGAGCAACACGGACCCAGATGCCAGCACTTATAACATCCTCATACAGGTCTTTGGGGAGGGTGGATATTTTAAGGAGGTGGTTACTTTGTTTCACGATATGGTAGAGGAGGATGTTGAGCCAAATATGGAGACTTACGAGGGTTTGATATTTGCTTGTGGGAAGGGAGGGCTTCATGAAGATGCCAAGAAGATTCTACTTCATATGAACAAGAAGGGAATAGTGCCAAGTTCTAAGGCTTACACTGGGGTAATTGAAGCATATGGACAAGCTGCACTATATGAGGAGGCTCTGGTTGCATTTAACACCATGAATGAAGTGGGAAACAGGCCAACTATTGAAACCTACAACTCACTAATTCACACATTTGCAAGGGGCGGACTGTACAAGGAATCAGAAGCAGTTTTATTGAGGATGGGTGAGTCTGGTGTACCACGTGATGTGAATTCATTCAATGGTTTGGTTGAAGCTTTCAGGCAAGGGGGTCGATATGAAGAAGCTGTGAAAGCTTATGTTGAGATGGAAAAGGCAAACTTTGATCCTAATGAGGTGACACTTGAAGTTGTTTTAAGTGTGTACAGCTCTGCTGGTCTTGTTGATGAGAGTGAGGAACTCTTTCAAGAAATTAAAGGTTCAGGAATACTGCCCAGTGTCACATGCTACTGTATGATGTTGGCTCTCTATGCAAAGAATGAGAGGTCAGTGTTCTGTCATCTTAAAGATATTGATGTACTTCTTTGTTACTCAAATTTGAAGCTATAACGCCAAACCATGACTGAAGGAAGTTTCCATGATTAAGCATGTGAAAATAATCAATTAAACTTCACATAGGATAACACTAATTAAAGTGGCGCATATTTGAGTGAACTAATGGTATGCAAGGATTTCCTCTGTGATTGCAACTAAACATGTGTAATTGGTCTGTGAAATTCAGAAAGAAAGAAAGAAAGAAAGAAAGAGTGAAAGAAAGTGTTTATCTGAAACTTCTTTCTGGCCTGCATTTACGACTTGTTTTACTGATCATGAATTCTCAATTTGATTGTGGGAGCTGGCGCCCAGAAAAAGATGGCATTGAAAAAATTCACTTGAAATGTGATTTGCATCTGAACTCAAAACGGATAATTGTTTTCGTGACTTTGTTATCCAATTTGTTTGATTTCAGGTAGTTTGTTTAATGATTAATGGCATTTGGTGTTGCAATAGTGATGGGGCATTTGAGAATACGTTTTGACACTATAACATAAAAGAAATCAAGTATGGATTCTCCTGTGTATTGATTTAATCAATTGTCATGCTCTTGCTTTTTTAATTCTTCCAACTGTGGCTCTCTTTCTCAATTTTGCCTCTTTGTGTTTGCTATTTGGTTCTTTTGTATTGGTCAGGTATGGCCAAATTCAACGTGCACCCTAAATTTAAATTTGCTGTTGTGCATTTTACTTCTAACTAGATTGTGGGGCCTATGTTTTGTGTGAGTCTAAAGTAAGCCACACTATTCATGGTTCATGAGCAGTCTGACATTTTATAGATTTTATATTATTCATAGATATGTAAATGCCTCATCTAGCTTGGTTATTTAATCTTACCTTTCCAGCTTCTTGCTTCCAGGTTGAATGATGCCTATGATCTACTTGATGAGATGATCACAATGAGGGAATCAGACATCCATCAAGTGATTGGCCAGATGATCAAGGGAGATTATGATGATGACTCTAATTGGCAGATTGTTGAGTATGTCTTGGACAGACTTAACTCTGAAGGATGTGGATTGGGAATGAGGCTTTATAATACACTTTTAGAAGCTCTATGGTGGCTGGGCCAGAAAGAAAGGGCTGGAAGAGTGCTCAATGAAGCATCAAAACGAGGGCTTTTCCCTGAGCTTTTCCGTAAAAGCAAACTAGTGTGGTCTGTGGATATACACAGGTATAATGGGAAACAATTCTTCCTAAACTTTGTACATTTTGATGAACTTATCTGATGCCTTAAGTTTGACCTTCTTGCAGGATGTGGGAAGGAGGTGCATTAACAGCGCTGTCAATTTGGTTGAACAATATGCAGGAGATGTTCATGAGTGGCGAGGATCTGCCTCAACTTGC